ATCCTAAAAGCCAGGAAAAAGACACAGGACCTACAAGGAGCAAAGGTTTTCAGCTGTTTTGCAAACAGAAAACATGAAAACTAGAAGAAAACAGAATGAAAAGATTCAAACTGCCAAATAAATAAAAATGCCAATCTAGAATTCTGTATCCAAAGAAAATACTCTTTAAAAATGAAGGTATGATAAAGACCTTTCAAACAAATGCTGAGTTAACTGCCACAAGACCTGCACTATAAGCAATACTAAAAGAAGTTCCTCGGGCTGACAGAAAAGGAATTAAGATGACAGCACAAAACTATCAAAAAAAAAAAAAAATAGCAAAGAGAAGAGAAAATGTATATGTAAATAAGAAAGAACACTATTTAAAGTAATGATATTGTGGGATTTATAACCACAAAATATATGAAAACTATAGCACAAAGAGTGGGGAGGCAACAAATGGAGTTGAACCAATTTAAAGTTCTTGAACTGTTCAGAAGGTAGTAAAAGCATTAATATAACACAGACTATAATAAGCCAAACACAGATACTACAATCTGTAGGGTAACCACAGAAAAATAATACAACCAAGCATAACTAAAAAGCAAATAGAAGAGATAGAATAATAGTAAATACAGATGACCCTTGAACACCAGGAGTTTGAGCTGGATTCTTTTTTGATATAGTACAGTGGTGTAAAAGTACTTACTCTTTTCTATGATTTTCTTAATAACAATTTCTTTTCTCTAGCTTACTTTAAGAATACAGTATCTAATACATACAACATACAAAATATGGGTTAATCAACTATGTTATTGGTAAGGCTCTCAGTCAACAGTAGGCTATCAGTAGTTAAGTTTTTGGGGACTCAAAAGTTCTATGTGGATTTTCAACTGTGTGGGGGTTGGCACCCTTAATCCCCACATTGCTCAAAGGTCAACAGTACCTGACTGAGTCAAAAGAAGGTAGGAAAAGGAGCAAATAAAGGAATAAAGAAAAGACTGGCAAAAAAGATAGCAAGATTTAAAACCTACTACATCAGTAATTATACCAAAAGTAAACAGTCTAAACACTCTAAAGAACAAAGATTCTAAGACTAGATGAAAGAGCAAGATGAAAGTATAAAATGTTAACATAACATACACTTTAAATATAAGGATATATATATAAATAGGTTGAAAATAAAAGGACAGAAAAAGGTTTGTCATGCAAACAAAACAAAACCGGTATGCCTATATTAGTATCAGACAAAGTAGGCATGAAGTATTTGTATAGATATCAAGTGACGTTTTATAATTATAAAAGTGTAACTTTTATAATAACGGCATAATAACCTGATAGTTTATGTGCTAAGGAACATAGCTCCAAAGTATACAAAATAATTTCTCCTCCAATCATTTCTACTATCTATCTTGCTTTTCCTTTTCTTTTCACCACACTTCTCACAATCTGACATTTATAATATATTTAATTATTGTTTCCTTATTCCCCCACCCCCTTGTGGAGAACGTAAGCTCTGCAAGGGCAGGGACTTACTCTATCTCGATCACACTTTATTCTCTGTAACTAGCCTAACACATAGTAAGCACTCAATAAATATTTGCTGAACAAATGAATAAAAGTGCCACTAGCAACTTATATTCTCAGTGCTTACTTTTAAAGTTTATAGGATACATTTGTTTTCTTCAGTTATGCAACCCTTTAACTTAAATAGTACTTAGCAATCTCTGTTAGCCAAAATTTTACGTAAGAAGTTTAAACAAAAAGCTTGAAAAAATGTTACTGGGAAATACATTTCCTTTTCATGCAACAAAGGCTCCAAGATCAAAAATCATCAAAATGTGCCTTTCTTCATTTAGTAAACATATTTAAATGTATATATTAATTCACATAAATAAAATAATACAATTACATATTAGCTTTCATGTTTATTCAACTTCACAGAAAATCCAAAAATGTGTCTGAAATTGGTTATCTATCTAAATACCAATTGTTCATTATGGTGACATAATACTATGTGGTAGGGGAGATATACCTAAGTTAAACAAATTCTTAAATTCCTGACAATCTTCAAGTGGGCAAAAGGAAATCTGAAAAATCAAACTTACAAGTTGTAAGAAGATACAGAAAGTAATGTAACCTTTAATACCTGGAACAAGTTTTACAGCCACATTTGTAATTTACATATACAGTGGAGATCACTGAAAAAAAGCTTCCTGTTGCACTGCAGCAAGAAATCTTATTATAATGTAGATTAAATGAACTTGCTACAGAGTGCAGCAAGATAACCTCACTGAAGACTCATAAGATTTTCATAATGGAACTTGTTACAGTGAGTTAAATATTTCCTTAATTTTATACAGTACATATTTTTCAAAATGAACATTATCACTGAAGACTTTGCTAACCACTGTTAGCAATTACTGTTGTATACATACTTAATTTTACTTTAGTTATATAGTATGTGGCTCTCCAAATGTTAGCATATGAAATGTTAAGTTTAAACATAATAAAATAATCCCCTAAGATGAAGACTCAGGACATCAAAACTTTGATCATTATTGCACCTATTTTTCTACAGAAAAATGGAAAATTTACATCATAATCCTCCCAAAAAGTGAACAGACAAGTTGTTAAATCACAGACTTATTGGCATTAAACAAAATCTACAATGAACATTTTTTTGTGAACTGATGTACAGAATTAATGTGCAATGAAATTTGGTTAACTATGATCATGCAAATAAAAATCCTCCACAATCATGTTTTCATTATGTTTTATAAAATGGTCTTAAAGATATACTTCCATAAACATTTCCGGTGCAATTTAGTCAACGACAAAAATACAAAGCTATCCCTTATTCTTTATTTTATAGATTTAAAAACATGCCTTTGTACTGCTGAGATACAAATAGCGTGTTTGGGAGAACTGAGCTCACGGAACAGTTAAAAACCAATGCATCTTGGTCTAACATTAGCTGCCTTGTATACAGCAGCCTCCCATAATCACTGGTGTCAGTACTGTTGGAAATGAAGAATAGTTAAATATTGAGAGATTAAGACACAATTCAAAACATTTTTTTTAAAAATAAAAGGCCGTTTCATAAACATGAAGAAATCTTTAAAAGAAAAATAATCACATCAATTGTGATATACATTGGAAAATAGTAAAATGTCATTTTCCAAAATAGTTTCTTTATTATATCCCCCATCTATTATAACCAATCTTGGAAATATACCTTAAACATAATGGTGTATTATATGAAAATGCTCCATTATTCAATGTGATAAATTTAATAAGTTAGGATATGATTTTCTTTTCCGATGTTAACTGTGGAAAAAACAAAAGAACAGCACCTGAAATACTACAATGAATTTAGGCAAGCATTAAGTAACTTTTATGTTTTGGTTCAAAATACAGTTTACAAAACTGTATAAAGGATACTGACTTAAGTAATTTGTTTTATATTTTGCAGATTATGATGAAGAAAAAAAAAAAGAACTGCTCTAAATCCAAATAAACTTCCACTTCTCCCTATCTAGATGAAGTGGAATTTCATTCAAAATTTATAAGATTGTGATACCTACAGTAGCTCAGATAGTTGGATATATCACTCCCACCCTGTCCCCCCCGCCCAAGAACAAGTTTTTGGCTCCAAAATAAAGTACAATAATAAACTCTTGATGAAAAACTATGTTATGGGGCAATCTATCATATACTATGGCTAAATATGAATTTACAGAAAAGAGCACATCCCATTTTCAGCACTTTTTCATAAACATGCAACTCACTATAAAATACAAAACACTTGCTTTCAAGAACAGCTTTATAAAGACACACTGCATCAATAAAATTTTTTCTTTCTGATTAACTTTACACTGTTACGGAGAACTGGAACTTTTCTATGTGTATATATCAGATTTTATATTATAGTGTAATAATTTGCATCTTCTGAACATAATGTTCAAGAGGAAATATCTATACACAATAACATTCTAGACTATTAAAAACTAATTCAAATTACAGAATTTTATTGATACAGTAGATTAATAAAAACTGAAAAGGGATGATGATAAAATGGGATAAAGAATTCAGTACATTATTTTATAACACACTCTTTAAAATTAAAATATTTTAAATCTCTCTTTTCTTAAAATTTTCATTGCCATGAAAGGCCAGAAAATTCTGAGACCAATACTGAGCTGTAAAATAATCAAACTTCAGGATTATTTCACAATTTGCATGGTGTCCTCCCACCGGAGGCACCATTCAGGTGTAATGGCAGACAGTATAGCACCTCTGAAGATTAAGGGTGCCTAGGAGTAAACACTAGGTAAGATACACAAGGGAAAGAGACGATTTAACTCTCCAACAAACAATGACATCAAGAAAATGACACCATTTGTTGAAAAAAATTTTTCACAGTAAAATTGCAGAGAATACAAATACTAACACTGACAGACTACTGCTTAAGATCTATCCTAACAAACTCTTTCCAAATCAATAGATCCAATAAACAGTTGGGTACTGTCAGTTTAAAGCCGCAGATAAAAGCTATACAAGCACTTTAGAAGTCAGAAACATTAAAGAAAGAAAGAAAGAAAGAAAGAAGAAAGAAAGAAAGAAAGGAAGAAAGAAAGAAAGAAAGAAAGAAAGAAAGAAAGAAAGAAAGAAAAAGAAAGAAGAAAGAAAGAGAAAGAAAGAAAGAAAGAAAGAAAGAAAGAAAGAAAGAAAAAGAAAGAAAAAAGAGAAAAAATATATTTACAAGTTTCTTCTTTAGTTTATGTCTACATAGCCATCGGACATCACACTTCCACAAGACTCCATAGTCAATGTTATCACCACGCGTATGGCTAAAGCGCTGTGACCACAAAACACATGAGGTCATCAAAGGAAGTTCCAACTGTCCACTCTCTGGCAGTCCCGCTTTGTGCATCTCAAAGGCTTTACTTAGCCTCAAGCTTGACAAAAAAATGCTTCTTCTCAAAGCTTTCACATAGAAAGTTATTAATTACATTTGTTCATCGCCTTTCTCTTTTAGAACTTCGCCGCCGTACCTTAAAAGAAAAATTACCAGATGCTTAATAAAAATACTAGACATAGCAGATAGCTTTTCCCACAACAGAGAAAGAAAAAACTATTTTACTTTTCTATTTAATAATTTTAAAGAGAAATGAACAGAAATGTCAACAGTAAGAAAAACAATTGCAAATATTTTTTCACTTATGTTTTTGTGGTAAAAGAAAACATTTGATCATTATGAACTTAGGCTTACAGTTGTCTTTCTGGGAAAACAGTTATTGAATGTGGATCATAACAATCATTAAATACACAGAAATAATCTGAAATTCAGACATATTACAATTTACTGGCAAGTACTAATGAAAGCATAATAACACTTTAGTTCAAAAAAGACCAGTATAAAGAGGAATATAAACAGAACAGGATTTTAATTAAATTAATTTATGGTGCAGTTTTTGTTTTGTTTTGTTTTGATGAAGACACTAATCACAATGAACTCTTCAGCCTTATTTTTATATTCAAAACAATAAACAAATACTTTAAGAAGCCCAACAAGTGTGAGACCACACAGTTCAGATATTTTTCTGTGGTCGTAACCCCTTCACAACCCCGGCCCAGACATAAGTGCTGATTATGTTAAATAGCACAGAGGGGTGGGGGTCAACTCTGAGACTACATCTCATAACACAGGTTTCTCAAACAAAGATGGCTGGCTGTAGTGATTCAAAGACTGAGCATCAGTGTATCATCAAGAGAACAGACCTTACTTAAATGTGTTAACTGTACTTCCTCCAACAAGAAATACTCAAGATGTGTTAACTGACAAAGCCATTCTTAAAAAAAAAAATTATCTCAGGAAGAATCATATTCCTACTTTTGTAAAAGAAAGGACTATTACCAATTTTACAAATTTCAAAGACGTGGTTTTATCCTATATGGTTAATTTCTATTTTCTACTGTGAAATTCAAAGAAAAAAGTTAAGAAACATAAACCACAGTCTATTTAACATGTAACAGTGCTCTGAAATCAAGGTACAACTTAAATGCCTGAAGTGTCAATATCAGACAGCTACTTGTTCTTCTCTACATTCAGCTTTCAACTTGATATTTACATTTTCACGAGGCTACAGCTATGATTCTCAGAGTCTCAGTATTCCATAACGGATGCTCTCTAATTAATTCAAGCTGGTAGATGAAACAACTCTACAAACTAATGAAGAAAAGCAAATAAATACTTAGACTTACAAGTAAGAGCAAGTATATGTATCTTACCAAATATTTACCAACTCTATTCTATATTCTATACTATCACACATGGTACTTTAATAAACACATACATTTACTGTAGAAACTTCCTCTTCCTCTGTTTCTTCCTGTGGAATATCATCATTGACAGGAGAGCTACCCTGAAACACATCTACTTCTTCACTTGAATCATTTTCTTTAGTAGCTGCTTGTTTGGAGCGTCCTACACGGCTAGAGTAAAACAGATGTAAAATAAAATGAACATTCTGATCTTGAAGTAGTAGAAATGCTTTAAATATTTCATAAATTCTCATTTATTATCATTTTTATCCTTCATTACCTTACAAAACAAGAAATATTTTTCTTATTCTAAACCCTAAACCAGTGTTTAATCCTAGAATCTCACCTACAAACACCGACCAAGTAACAAAAACATGTGTGACTGAGACCAATACCATAAAAGATTTTAAAACATAAACCAAAGTCTGCTCTTCCTTTTATCTTTCCCAACTCAGTAAATGGCATCTGTATCTCCTGAGTTTCTCAAAACAGAAAATTTGGAGTCCTTCTTACTACTGTACCACTCTTCATTACTACTGTACCACTCTTCATCTAGCCCCATAATTCTTACAAAGAAATCTCAAATCCTATTCACTTTTCTCCACCTCTATTGCTTCTACACATTTCCAAGCCATTCTCATCTCTTTACCTCCTCTCTAAAATGTAAAAACAGCTGATGTCACTCATTCCCCCTCAATAATTCCCTGTTATACTGAGAGAAATTCCATAAATCTCCTTAATATAGTATATAAGGCCCTGCAGACAATCCTGGGGTACCTGTCCATTCTCCTCTCTTTCTACTCCCCAATTCCTCACAACTACACTGGCAAATTCTTGCCTTCCTTCAACTCTCTGAATTGGCCAAGATTTTTCCTACTTTGGAATCTTCAAATCCAATATTCCCTCCAGTTGTGTTCTTCTTCCTGTTCTCCATCAGCCTAACTCCTACTATTCTCAAGAAATCAACTGTCACTTTCCAAAGAGAAAACTTCCCAATTCCCTAGCCCTTCCATTACTTTCTCTTACAGTACCCTAAATTTTCATCAGGGTACATATCACAATTTAGAATTCCATATTTAAGTGTGATTATGCAATGACTACATGCCCATTTAGATGGTAAATCCCATAAGGACAAGAATCAGGTCAATTCTGTGCCACCATATCCCCCAGCACCTCATACTCTCTGAAACACAGGAGGCAATGAAATATATGTAGTAGATACCACCATTTAATCAAATGTTTCCCTCTCGATATTTTTCTATCTGCATATATATTCTTTCATTAGAAACTTTTTTTTATTTGAGTACAGTTGACACACGTTACCTTAGTTTCAGGTGTAGTGATTCAACTTATTTATACATTATGCTATGCTCACCACAAGTGTAGCTACCATCTATCACCATGCAATGCTACTACAATATCACTGACCATATTCCCTACACCGTGCTCCTTTATTCCCATGACTTATTCATTCCCAAACTGAAAGCCCATATCTCCTACTCCCCTTCACCCATTTTGCTCATACTCCCACCCCCACTACCCTCTGGCAACGATCACCTTATTCTCTGTATGGTAACTTTTTTTAAAAATTAAGAATACAGTTTATCACTTCTCTTAGGTAATCCAAAGTATTGTTTAATCCACACTCAAACCAAGTAATTTTTTTTACTTGATTCAGTTTTTCTCAATTCCACTGAGGTCAGAACAAGAAAAAACAGGCAGATCATAACATATGTTATTCTACTAGTTCTAAAAAAAGAGGTTCCCCGTGAAGGGAAGATACACTGTTAAGACAGAATATAGAGTCTTTTTTTTGCACTGATTTTTAAAAGAAATACTTGTTTGGTTTAGAACATTCGTATGAGGAAATGACATGATAATCATTTAAGTCCTTAATTTTTTGATGCCCAAATATAAACAAATTACAGTTATGAGCCTGAAAGATATTTTTGTTATTTCCTCATTATAAAATTAATTCTGGAAATTTAATATTCCTTAAGAATTTGTTTAAAAAACAGTTATTTTCCATAATTGAATCCAAACACATTTACAAAGCTATCACAAAAATATACTTACCTTTACTTTTTTACCCAAGGAAAAAGTTAAATGGAAGAGGGCATGAAGTAGCTAGACACTCAGGCAACTTTTCCTCTTCCTGTGGAATACACAGGAATAGGAAATACTTCTAAGATAAGTATTTAGCCAAGGCGCGCTGCTGGCAAGTCTGAAAAGCCAACGCACTGATCTAATTATGTAATGGGATTACTCTCAGGAAAACTGCAGAATTTCTGACTAACGGAAGACATGCTATTTTAGTTCCACTTAAAAAACTGAGAAAAAAGGGCAAAATATACAAATTACAGTACTGATGTTCCTGCTACTTTAATAATCTTAGGTACAGATTTGTTATTGTAACTTCTTATAAACATATGTTTGTGTGAACTTCTAAAACTATTTATATGTAGATATGGATGTGTTAATTTGATTAGAAAAGAAACAAATTCAAAACATCAAAAACTTCAGATCTACATGTGATAATTTCTGTAGATATAATTTAAAGAAAAATAATGCCTGTTACTTTCCTACACAATTCAAAGAATAAAAGCAAAAATGTAAAAACTTTTTTTTTTTTTTTAAGTTGCTGAGGAAAGACATCAAGAAAAACTGTAGTGTGCAATGACAAGGCAACCTGGTCAGTAAGATGTGATTATTTAAAAATACCTTCTCATCTCTTTAGGTACTATAAAGTCTGTATTGGAAATAATAAACTATATGTTACTCATTTAAAAATATTTGCCTAAAACCTGTAAAAAATGTACAAATATTATCAGAGAGTTAATTGGGATATCAATCACCTAGGTAAGTTTATAAAAATTTTATCTTACCTAGTGTAATGGGAGTAAATATATGAGATTTTAAATATAGCCCTATGTATATTTAAAAATTTATGAACTTTTGCATAATTTGAAACTGGTTTGAAATTTAATATTATTTACAACTTACACATTTTTTTTTGGTTGTGATGGTGATGGCGTTTTTGATGGTCTTCCTCGTCCTTTCTGTGGTGTGGATTGTGTGGATTCAACTGCACTAGTTTCAGGAGATTCTGCTCTGCTTTGGAGAAGACCCAAATGCGCATAGCATCAAATTATGATTTATGACATAGTTACGAAACATATGCAGTTTAGAGTTGCACGTACTTACCTCTGTTGTGTTCTCCTTGATGTTCGGTGTTGTTTGCTCTTTGACTTCTGTTCTGTATTTCCACTTTGTCTTTCTTCTTCTTCCTCTTCTTCTGGTGCTGAAGGTCCAGATTTTTTTTTGCTTCCTTTTTTAGATGTTTTCATTGTTGGCTCTTCCTTTGCTGTACCTCCACCAAGAGGTTTCGGCGGTCGGCCTCTTTTACCTTTCTTTGGTGGACTGTTCTGTTCATCTTCATTTTCTAATATATCTTCTTTGAGCCTCTTTTCTTCAGGCCACTGCTGTTCATCTGATTCTGAAGCCGTATGGCCTCTCTTCCGTCCACGCTGACTACCTTTAGGTTTCTGCTCCTGTACCAACTTAGTGAGGTCATCCATACCTAATTTTTCTTCTGAATCTGTAACAGGTGTTTTTTTCCGGCTTCTAGGTTTGTCCAATTCAGACTAGGAATAAAAACCACAATTTCAAACATAAAATTGTAAGTGTGCATATTTTGAAAAATAAAACAAAAAACATGCTATCCACTTTGTCATAAAAATGTGCTTAAATAGAGTGTAGAGTTCTTAAGCACATCAGAACCATAACTACTTGTATTTTAACTAAAAAAATTATCCAGAGTAAAAGGATAAATTTTTATTTTTACTTAAACTAGAGAGCCTCAAATGGAAACCTTTCAAGATCAGTATTTTATTAAATTATACATTTTAATGAAGAGCTATTTATTTCATTTAAAAAATTTCTAAATTCTTTGCATGAACAATGGATAACTATACTAAAGTATAATGGATGTGCTTTGATAGTCAATTTAAGTAATTCTAATTTTACTACACAGTGTTTATGACATAAAATATCAACTATGCTATATATCATGCTTAGACACCATAAAAAACTTTTATTTTATAAACAGAGGTTGCAAGATACAAAAGTTAAACATATTCATCACTTATTAAAAATTTTGAAAACACTTCTGAACCTGATACTGCTTCTTTTCATTTACAACTAATTAAAAACAAAAAAACAATTTAAATTATTTAATTGGTAACTCAAATTTAAAAGTCTAGTCTACATTCAGAGAATTTAGGCACTGAGCAGAAGATGCAAACTGAGGAAATTCTCCAAAGAAATCAAGAACGGTATGAACCCTTATGGCTTCTCCATACACATACATGTATAAAACCCATAAATAAATGTAAATTTTATTTCCAAAAAGTTTATGCCAATTTACATTCTTAAAAATCAGTGGTAGAAAACAACAAAAATTATCTGATTAGTTTAATAGTCATTTTGTTTCCTGTCTACAAACTCCCTAATTATGCCGCTGGTATTATGTTCTTTGCCCATTTGCATACTGGAGTCTTAGTATTTTAATCTACATTCTTGTGTATATTTAAATTTTAGTTCTATTTGTTATGGACTGAATTGTGCCCACACAAAATTCACATGTTGAAGCTATAACCCCTAATGTTATGGTATTTGAAGAAAAGGTCTTTGGGGAGATACTTCAGTTGAGATGAGGACATGAGGGTGGGTGGGGCCCTCATTATAGAATTAGTTCCTTATGGGAAGAGACACCAGAGAAATCTCTCTGTCTCTCTCCACCATGTGGGTCCACAGTGAGAAGGTGGCCATCTGCAAACCAGGAAGAGAGCTCCCACCAAGAAGCAAATTGGCCAGCACTTTGATCTTGGAATTCCCAACCTTCAAAATGGTGAGAAAATTAATTTCTGTTGTTTAAGTCACCCAGTCTATGGTATTTTTTATGGCAGCCTGAGCAGACTAAGACATTATTGTATCTTAATAGGATTTGAAATGAAGGTTTAAACTGTTTTTCCTATCTACCCCCCAGAGTATTCCAATCATTTAAAAAGAAACCACTGACTTATAATGCTTCTTTTATTTTGTATTATGTTTTAAAAATCAATAATGTTTCTGAGCTATTGTAACAGCAGCGTAATATTTTACTAATTATAAATAAATACATTTGTGTCTGGCTGGGCTGATCTTATTATTACTCCTCTTTTTTATATTTATTCTTCTACATGTACTTAAAATCACACTGGAATTTTATAATTACATATAGATTCATTTAGAAAGAATGGTTATCTTTTCTTATTCATTTTTCCCATTACAGAACATGGTATGCCTTCTTTCTCTTCAAATCTTGTATGTCTCTCAATTTGGACATCTCCACCTAGTTTCCCCCAACTTCTTTTTTAAGGAAGTTTTAGATCGATGGATGTGTCTGTCTGTCTGTCTACCTACCTACATATTTTTGTTGTTGTAGTGGTTATTGTGGTGAAGCAAATCACCTTTCACCCAAGTGTATACTTGATATAAAGAAAAATTAACAGAATAAAGTTAGTTATGCACATACATACATTTATATGGCTACCATGCTAAATTCTTAGTTTTTCAATTGCTTATTTTTCTAAGAGTACAAATGAATGTCTCTTCTTTTTCACTGTCACATCTTTGACTATTTCATGTCTTCCTGAATTTGTCAAACATTCTAGAACAAGCTTAAATAATAGTGATGACAACAGGTTGCTTGTTTTGCTGATTTTCAATAAAAATGCTTCAAGTATTTTGCCTTTATGAAGAATAACTTAAGAGTAACTGAATTAATAACTACTGATTTAAACAGTAAAACTTTTAGCGTGTTAAGGAAGTATCCCACTGGTATTAGTTTATTAAGAGTTCATATATATCAAGAATGGATTTTAAATTGTATTTATGTCTTCTTGACATGACCTTAGATTATCTTGTTATATTCTTATTTGGTATACTGATTTGCTATATTATATTAAAAGATTTCTTAGCATTAAATTATCCTTACATCCCAGGAAAAATAGACCTGTAAGTGACTGGTTTTAATTTGTTAATGTTTATTTAGAGTTTTGTGCATAAATTAATAATTAATTGTTGTTACTCAGAGATGCATAGATAAGGGAAATATTGAACTAAAACTAAATTTAAAATTACCACCTCCAATTTAAAATGTTACAATTCATTTTGATGTCCAAAAATGTGTAAGGTAGTTGAATTCCTTTATGCCCTGGAAAAGGTTGGTGGTTAATAGGATATTCTATGTCTGCTTTCTTGAGAATACTATAAAATAATCTAGTTTGCTAAAGCACTACCTTCTCTAGTTTCTTTTTCATTTTGCACTGCATTGTCTTAAGAACAGAGGGAGTATAAAACTGAGGTTTGAAGCAGGAAACAGGGAAAATATATTATCTGTAAAATTAAATATTTGAATATAAATGTATATGGAGAATAATTCCTGTGTGGTGAAATTTTAATGTCAAGTAGTAGCATACGCAAAGACAGTACTCTTTCACTATAATCTACTGGTCTTTAAATTGAACTTCTGTCTCATAATGCTAACCTCTTTGAGGATATTTCAGTTGATATTTATTAATAAGGTTCTTGTAGTATTTCTGAAAATGGATGCAATGTTACACAAAAGGAAGCCAAAGGCCTCCATTATAATTATACAAATCAATCTTAAAAGCTCAGAATTTCAAAACTTTTCTATGAAATATAGAGACTTTGTTCTTCATTGCTCTAAAAGGTAGAACTAGATATAGAATTTATAGGATAACAAAACATTAAGAGTTCATCACAACCACGTTTCCCAGTTTTGGGGGGATGTGGGGATAAGGGAGCAGGACAGTATGTGGGTGTGGGTGGCCTAGCTGATGTATCTAATAAATAGGAGAAATTATAAGCTCTCCACCTAAGGCATTTTCAAGCATGTGCTAACCAACTCTCATAAATGCTAATGAAGGAATTTCTGCATTAAATGAGAAGTAGGACTAGAAGACATAAATACCTTTTCCAATCAAGGTTCTCTTCTATAAATCCAGATAACAGGATTCCTTTCTGGCTAAGCGATCAATTTTTAATTCTGCTTGGGCAAAATTTTTAAACAGCCAATAAAAATCAGAATTTACAGTATAAATAGTAAGGATTTAGTAAGAATTTTAGAATTATAATTTTTTAAGTGGAAGAAAAACAACCTGGTAAAACAAATTACTGGAGAAATTGAAAACAACTGAAAATAATTTATTAAACTTTTTGGGATATGTAATGTTGGACGAGTGGAAGACAAGAAGGGCAGTAATATTTCAGCGAAAGCAAAAGTATTTTATTAATAACCTTCCACCTCTACTGAGTAGTTTCAAATGCATTAACTTTTACTTTAATTATTAATCAAAAATATTGATCTTTATAATAATAAAACAGCAGCAACACCAATTAACTTAGGTTAATTCATTTATTCTGATAAACCTTACCAGCTAAGGAGTCACATTTTAGAGATAAAGAAACTGATTCAGACAGCCTCACTGATTATTCAAGAAATGTTTAAAGCTAACCTAGAAAGCCAAAATGTGTCCAATTATTAAGGCTATCAGGTGGTGCTGGAATACATAACTGTATTTTATATCTGCACTAAAACTTAAATCTGTCTTTAAATGACATTTATAAATTGTTTCTATCATACAAGTTATCATTGTTATTAAAATCTAAAAACTAAAGGCGGCCTTTATGAAGACTGTAGCATTTCCTTACTAGAAGCTTATTTAGTAATGAAAGGCTCAAGAAATCATCTAAAATGGAGGAACCTTTAAGGACCCTTATTCTACCTCCCCCCTCCAATGCTAAGTTTAAGCTTACTGTGTTTTAAAAACAAGAACAACAACAACAATAAAAAACCCAAGCAGTTCTGAGTATGGTCTACAGAATAAAGATCATTTATTAGAATGACAAGAAATACAAGAGAGTCAATATGTTTAAATTACATGGTAGAGGATAATTATAAACCCAAATTGGTGATTAAAACCATTAAAAGAAAATCAAATGTCGAATTTGAGAATAATATTAACTGGTTTCAGTGTAAAAATTATTTATACAGGAAAATTATTATCATTATTGTAATTATTATAAAATCAAACCAAATATCTCACCCTTACAAGATCAGAGTCGTCTCTCTTGTCACTTTTTTTTCCTGGCAAAGGTGAAGACATTGTGTAATCTTCATTTTCACTGTGATCCATTTCAGAGCTATCAAGCCTTTTAATATAGACATTTATAATCATTACAATGAAATAACTTAAAAGCTTTTTCTGTTCCCTAGTGTAGCCTTATAGCTTTATGAGGAAGTTTCTTTTCAAAAAAGTATCCATTTTATTCTATCATATTTAGCAACAAAGCAACAAGCAATGAATCACATTTAATTTAACATAATAGGGAAACTTTAAAAATCACAAATTTAGTTTTTTTCCTAAGTCTTTTTAAAAACTAAATTCTATTTTGGAGTGGGTAAATAAAGTAAATTAAAACTTTTCTTGTTAGCAAGTTGAATTGGCCTATATTACTACAATCTGCACTGTTCCCTATCTCTCCCATATCCCCATTCCACTTTTTCTTCTCTGTACTCTTAACACCCTCTAACACAATAAAGTTATTATGTTTATTCTCTACTAATCTTCCCCTGCTAGAATGTAAGCATGGATCTTTGGTCAACTGTACTTAGCAATTTATACTAAGCACTTATACCAGTGCCACGCATAAAGTAGGCATTCAATAAATACTTACTAAATGAATTAATAGCACATGCTCTCATTTATTGGTAAAAAGGCTGTCTTCTGTCCTAGGTGATCACATCCTTAATCTGGCTTTAAAAACCACTTAAACATTGTTAAATCCTAAATCTCAATCCCTGACCCAGAAGCTACCCTGAGCTCTCGACTCACATATCCACTTGCTCACTCACTTGAATCTCTAATAGGCATCTCAACTTTAACACAGCCAAAACAGTCATTTGGACACTCCTCTTTTCCACATCTCCCCAGAAAACACACACACACACACACACACACACAGCCTATTCCTCCTCAAAGGCTTCTACATCTCAGTAAATGGCACCACCACCTATATAAATACTCAGGCAAAACACCTAGGATACAGCCTTTTTTTTTTTTGAAAGATTTTATTTACTTATTTGACAGAGAGATAGAGAGAGAGCACAAGTAGGCAGAGCAGCAGGCAGAGAGGCAGAGGGAGAATCAGGCTCTCCGCCAAGCAGGGAGCCCGATGTGGGGCTCAAACCTAGGACCCTGGGATCATGACCTGAGTGGAAGGCAGACGCCTAACCGACCGAGCCACCCAGGTACCCGCCTAGGATACATTCTTAAATATTCCCTTTCTGCAACTATTCACATCTAACCCATCAGCAAGACTACTTGGATCTACCATCAAAATAAATCCTAAATTTGACTATTTACCATCTTCTTCCCAGTTTATCCCTTCCCTGAAGTACTATTAGCTGACTCCTAACTGGTTTTTCTACCTCAACTCTAGTTCCTCTATTCTCCACAATCAAGGCAATCTAATAAAAGTACAAATCAGATCACTAGGCTCCACAGCAATATCTTAGCATAGGGGGAAGAGTCGAAGACAATACTGAGGCTCTTAGCCTAAATGACTAGGTGAATTAGATCTTTGATTATAACCACGAATTCGACAAGAAAAACCAGTAATTTAGGAAATGAGCTGCTGGAAATGTTTTGGTAATGTTAAGTAGGAGGCCATCCACTAGAAAATGTCCGAATGATATAGATGAAGGGACACTCAGGTATCAGCCACTAATATGTATTAATATAGGAATCTAAAACAAGAGCTATAAATGTAATTTTTGTTCAATTTCTACTATATTATATATCACTTGACAATTTATTCATTACAAGGAAATTGATAAGAAATTTCAGAATGTCTCCTTTCTTTATTGACTGGTTCTAAACAATACAAAAGATAGCACAGTCTTTGCTAAAAACTAAACAAAATCAATACACAGTGGCAGTTAAGCCCCGTACAAGGTTCTGCTGCTAACAAACGGTGTACAAAGCACTATGCTAAAACTAGTGAAAATGTGATTTTCCCTTTTCTTCTTTCTTAAAAAGAAAAATCTGTAGAGCGTGATTTGAAAGTACAATTTTAAAACAATTTTCTAAACAAAAAAGTTTATACATGTACACAGGAAAAAGAAATTCAAACCAAAGCATATATAAAATGATCTCCCTCCTACACTAGATTACCATGAGACGTTGCGTAGTCTTCCAGAAACTTTCTATGCATATAAAAGCCAATGTGAATACAAATCCTTCCTAAAAACTTGAAAATACTATAATACTGTTCTATTCTTTGCCTTTTTACTCAATAATGTATTGTCGAAATAATTCATATTAGCTCATACCTCATCATTTTTAATGATTATGTATTCCATTGTACAGATGTACCATAATATAACAGTTTTACAACTGCAAGACATTTAGCTTATGTCTACCAAAACAGGCTATACCAACAAGCTAAAATATGAAAGGCTAAGATGGAGTGCCTATCTAAAATAAGAGAGCAAATAAGTAAGAACTTGTAAATGGCTACCAGTGTTAAATGGGAATGTTCAGGTATGCACTGATTTCCATTCACTGACATTAAATGTTTTGGGTTACATTATTTTAAATCTCATTGCCTTGTTGGAATCCTTAAATGTAAAATATGATATTAGGTTCTTACCTCCCTTTTATTCTTCCAGGAGAGCTTGGATTTGAGCTGCTGCTTGCATTGCTTACAGTTTCCATTCGTGATGACTTTGTCTGAGATTGCTTGCCAGCTGATGAAAGTGGCTTATTAACAGCTCCTAGAACATTGGTTGTTTTAGGCTGAAATGAAAAATGCATATCTTTCTATTTGATTAAAGCCAAAAGAAATTTACATGTAAAGAGCCATAAAAAATATCTGTCGAAGTGTTTACATACAAATCACACACACAAATATGCCTATCCTTAAACAAAATAAGGATTATGAATTGAATATCACTTGTACAAGTGAAAAACTATACAGATGGCATAACAGTTACGTTTTTTAGCTATCTGGAGGAAAAGGCTTACATAGAAAGTGAGAACAAATAAAATGTGCAGTCAACAAAAATAGATAATCAGACTCTTGCTCTGGAAGGACATAAGAAGATGTTTTTAACTTTAAGACTTTTTTCTTGATATTACAGGATAAGATATTGAAGGATCAAGGTCTCCAGGGCTTTATTATAAGCAACAAAATAAGTTCATGTATCTCAGCTTGCATCTATACAGTAAATATAATTATTTCTAACTAGCAAATGGAAGATGCCTATTAATTATATTTTTTATCTTAAGATATATCAATTTTAAAGAAATACAAAATAACATAGTTATGCCAATAATCATACTAAAATAAACTACCACATAAAAATTAGAATGACTCTCAAAACGTACTTTTCCAGGAGTGAAAAACGATTTCATTTCTGGAGGCAGATAATTTTTGGTGTTACTGAAATTCTACAAGCAAGGGAAAAAGTTGCAGTCAGTGAATACTGAAACACTATACATGAGGTGGTTCGAAGCCAACAAAGCATACAACAGCTTTTGTTTCACAGTACATAATAAAATACATATTTAAATAATCAGTCAAACACAAAATTTCAGTCACTGATTTTAAATATTGTAATAAGGGGCACCTGGGTGGCTCAGCTCGTTAAGCATCTGACTCTTGATTTCAGTTCAGGTCATGATCTCAGGGTTTTGAGATTGAGCCCATGTCATGCGAGCCTGCTTAAAGATTCTCTTTCTCCCTCTCCCTCTGTCCCTCCCCTCCCCTAAAAGTAAATAAATAAATACTGTAATAAGTTTAAACTAATCTCATACCAACTCCAATATTAACAAAACATATTTGTACTCTAACATGTTAGAGCTCTGTAAGCACATCAGAAAACCATGCTTCTATAACAATACTCTCCAGAGGAGAGACCACATATACTCCTGTTATCTTAATCACAACAAGGTAAAAGCAGACAGTCCCTTTTAGCTACTGGGTGAGCCTACATACAAGGCTGTTGTAAATCACTATACATTGGTTAAACTTTAATTAGTATTTTACTTAAAAACAAACATAAATACAAAAACAGTAGTGGTAGTTTCCATACTCTCAGTCAATAGGCTTAGGTGCATTATGAATCTCTAAGAACGATTCTGGAAAACACCTATTGTATCTTAAGTTTTGTAAAAGTGGTTTAGGAACATTTTTGTAATGCTCCCTGGGTCTTGAACTTGTTCCTGTATCAGTTCTCTGCTTGTTTCTTCATACCAGTTATGAATCTCAATCAAGGCTTATATAACTTCAGACTGTGTCTCTATCAGCATTCTCCTTCCCATTTTGGATCAATGGCCAATAACGACAGCTCTACATGCTTTGATCACATTTTTGCCTGAACTCACATACTGGCATAAAACTCTGATTGCAAACTCTAGATTATCTTAATTAATCTCTGAACCTTATTTGGGTCCTCTAGTTTGGCCCATATTCTAGCCTTGAACCACATTAGTAAGACTCATAGTGACTTTTCCATGACATTAGTAGAATGCTCTTGATCCTGAAGTCTTCCCATAACCTAGGGCTGAGAATACACTTTATTTCAATCTATACAAACAAAATCTACAATAACTACCTTGTCAGGTTGGGTGAAAAAACGAGCTGGTAGTACTGGGTCTTTAGGAGATTCCAAACTGTATGTGGTGCTCTTTGACATGATGATATTCATGGCAACATCACACACAGTGTACAGTTTCTGCAATGGTATTAAAAAAAAATTAGATACTTAAGGTGGCATCCTCGACTCTGTGAATTAGGAATTAATTCTAGAACATGCAGTTAGTACAGGCATACCTCAGAGATACTGCGGATTCAGCTCTAAAGCACCACAATAAAGCAAATGTTGTAATTAAGTGAGTCAAATGAATTTTTTGGCTTCCCAGTGCATATAAAAGTTATGTTTACACTGTACTATAGTCCACTGAGTGTGCAATAGCATTATGTCTAAAAAACAATGTACAATGTAATTATAGTATAAATAATTAAAAAATATTTTATTGCAGGGGTGCCTAGGTGGCTCAGTCAGCTTAGTATCCGACTCTTGATCTCAGCTCAGGTCTTGATCTCAGGATCATGAGTTCAAGCACCGCACCAAGCTCCATAGTGGGCATGGAGCCCAGATAGATAGATAGATAGATAGATAGATAGATAGATAGATAGATGATAGAAAGATAGGTAAATAAATAATTTTAGACAAGTTTATTGCTGAAAATGCTAACCATCATCTGAGCTTTCAGTGACTTGCTATATTTTTGCTGGTAGGGAGTCTTGCCTCAATGTTGATGGCTGCTGATGATCAGAGTGGTGACTGCTGAACTGTGGTCATTTCTTAAAACGAGACAATAATGAAGTTTGCTGCATTGACTGACTCTTCCTTCCATGAACAATTTCTCTGTAGTGTGTGATGCTGTCTGACAGCATTTTACCCACAGAACTTTCAAAATTAGAGTCAATCCTCTCAAACCTTACTCCTGTTTTATCAACTAAGTTTGTGTAATACACTAAATCCTTTGTTGTCATTTCAACAATCTTCACAGCATCTTCACCAGGAGTAGTTTCCATCTCAAGAAACCACTTTCTTTGCTAATCCATCACAGGCAACTCCTAATTCATTAAAGTTTTATCATGAAATTGCAGCAATTTAGTCACATCTTTAGACTCCACTGCTAAGTTCTCTTGCTATTTCTACCACATCTGTAGTTACTGCAGCCATGGAAGTCTTGAACCCTCAGTCATTCACGAGGGCTGGAATACACTTCTTTCAAACTCCACTCCATGTCGATAATCTGACTCCTTCCCATGAATCACAAATGTTCTTAATGGATGTAGAATGGAGAATCCTTTCCAGGTTTTCAATCGACTTTACCCAAACCTATCAGAAGAACCACAATCTATGGCAGCTATACCCTTATAAAATGTACTTCTTAAATAGTAAGACTTAAAAGTTGAAATTAATCCTTGATCCATGGGTTGCAGAATGGATGCTGTGTTAGCAGGCATGAAAACAGCATTAATCTCACTGTATATCTCTGTCAGAGCTTTTGGATGAACCGGTGCATTATCAACGAGAAGTAAGATTTTGAAAGGAATCTTTCTTTCTTAGCAGATCTCAACTATGGGCTTAAAATATTCAGTAAACCATGTTGTAAACAGATGTGCTGCTATCCAGGCTTTGTTGTTCTCTTTATAGAGCGCACAGAGTAAATTTAGCATAATTCCTAAGGGCCCTAGGATTTTCAGAATGGTACAAGAGCACTGGCTTCAGCTTCAGGTCACCACCTGCATTAGCCCCTAACAAGAGAGTCAGCCTGTCCTTTGAAGCCATGCACGGACTTCTCTCTAGCTATGAAAGTCTTCAATGGCATCTTCTTCCAAAAGAAGGCTGTTTTATCTACATTGAAAAACCACTGTTTAGACTAATCACCTTCATTAATTACCTTAGCTAGGTCTTCTGGGTAACTTGCTGCAGCTTCTTTATCAGCACCTGCTGCTTCACCTTGTACTTTATGTTATGGAGCTGGCTTCTTTCCTTCAACCTCATGAACCAACCTCTGTTAGCTTCTGCTTTCTTCTGCAGCTTCCTCACCTCTCAGCCCTCACAGAATTACAGAGTAGGGCCTTGCTCTGGATTAGGCTTTGGCTTAAGGGAATGTTATCATTGGTTTGATCTCCTATTCAGACCAAACTTTCTCTGTAATAAGGCTGTTTTGCTTTCTTGTCATTTGTGGTTTTCACTGGAATAGTACTTTTAATTTCCTTCAAAAACTTTTCCTTTGCATGCACAAGTTGGTTAACTATTTGGCAAAACAGACCTAGCTTTTAGCTTATCTCAGTTTCTACATGCCTTCCTCACCAAACTTCATCATTTCTAGCTTTTGACTTCATCATTTCTAGCTTTTGATTTAAAGTAAGAGACATGTGACTTTTCCTTTCACATGAACACTTAGAGGCCACTGTAGGGTTATTAATTGACTAATTTCAGTATTGCTGTGTCTCAGGGAACAGGGAAGCCTGAGAACAGGAAGAAAGATGGGGGGACGGCTGCTGGATAGAGCAGTCAGAACACACACAACATCTGTCAATTAAATTTGCCATCTTAGGTGGGTACAGTTTGTGGCACCCCAAAACAATTACAATAGGTGACATCAAAGATCACTGATCTCAGTTTACCATAACATAAACAGTAACAATGAAAAAGTTTGAAATACTGCAGGAATTACCAAAATGTGACACAGAGACATGAAATAAGCAAATGCTGTTGGAAAATGGTGCCACAAGACTTGCTCAGTGCAGGGTTGCCACAAACCTTCAACTTGTAAAAACAATGCAATTATCGGCAAAGCATATTAAGGTTATGACTACATGCAGTTTTCAGTACAACACTGTAAGTTAAACCACTATTTTCATTATTTCCTTGTAACAGCATTACTACAAACTTCCGTATTAGTAATTCTACATCGGTAATTCAAACTACTAATAGAAATACTAATTATTAAATACTAATAAAAAGACTTGATAATGTCTATACATACTACAGAAGTAGCATATCCACACTAGAATGCTTATATCAACATGGAATCATAATTATTCAAAAAGAATTACATACTTCATTCATTTTTGCATCATCTGGTCCTTGGGCATCTTTTGTTTGTTTAATATTTTCTACCATCTTTCTGATAAATGCATGACTGTTATTTTCATTTTTAGCCATTAATATTTCTAGAACGAACCAAAGACATCTAAAAAAAGGAGGGGGGAGAAAAAGAAATGAAGTGGAAAAAACTGGTTGCTTAATATAGATAAAAGTAATTCCAAATATAAATACAATAAACTCCAAAAAAGGAAAAAATTAAAAAGAGAAAACCAGCTACCAATCAACAGAGAAAAAAAGGTACGTCACACATACATATCATAACTTACCAACAATGTAGGTGTGAATTCATAAGACCCCTTCCCAAAAATTCACTAATGTTCCCAAGGAGGCAGGTTAAAAACAAACTTAAATGGTGGAGAGAATGAAGTGATCCTAACTCCTAGCAATGACTAGGAGGGAAGAGCCTGCCTAAAGTAATAACTGGGCCATGGATAAAATGAAGCCTCAAATACTCAACACTGACTGCAATCCTGATTGGAAGTTTTCAAGAAAATAGAACTACCCCACTCAGTAGTTAAGAATCTCCATGAATGGGCGCCTGGGTGGCTCAGCTGGTTAAGCGACTGCCTTCGGCTCAGGTCATGATCCTGGAGTCCTGGGATTGAGTCCCGCATCGGGCTCCCTGATCAGCAGTGAGTCAGCTTCTCCCTCGGACCCTCCCCCCTCTCATGCTCTCTCTCTCTATCTCATTCTCTCTCTCAAATAAATAAATAAAATCTTTAAAAAAAAAAAATCTCCATGAATAAGTTAGAGAAGAAAAAGTCATGGCTGACAACTACACATACTGTCTTTGCTTAAAGACGGAAAAATTAAAAGGAAGTTTCACTAGCTAAAGTTATTTACATAAAACTCTATTCTAGAACAAACCAAAGGTGCTTTATCACTTTACAGACAGAATGGGACAGGGTTTTAGCACAGAGGAGAAAAGTAAGGAAGAAGAGAGAAATGTGAAGCAAGGTATCATTCTAGAAGGGGAAAAATAACCTTAAGGATCTCAGTATAGGATAAGTTCTCCTGGAGTAGCTCTCTGACAGAATGGGGAGATTACTCATGGCTGTACCGGGGCAATTTAAAAATAAACCAAATGTTTAGTAAGTTCCGAAGAATATTAAATGTATTTCAAAAACCAAAGTTCTCTGAGAAAGTGGGGTGGTTAAAAGTTTTCATTAGTTACAATCACTCTAACGCAGAACTCATTTTGGGAGAATTGCTTGTTTTTAAAAAAACAGAAACTGCGGCTTTCCCTTGCCATGAGAAAGTTATAAGTAATTTGATTTTATTCTCTTAAGGCACCTCAAATATTTAACTATAAAATATTTCTATGAACTAAGAAACCAGCAGTTATTTTAACAGGAAGCTAAAGGCATAATAAATTCATTTATTCAAAACCACAATGGTAATCCTTTATTATAGCAGAAAGAGAACTAGGGTTGCAAACTTAAAGAACTATGCTGGTGTTACAAAGATTTCTCTAAACACCATTATATTTCCCTATTCCACACCCAGGCATAGATGGCTTTTTGGCCTCTCAACAATAATCTTTGAAAGAACTACAAGTGTCATAAATTTGAAATAGAGAATCACCAATGAAGTCGTAAGTGTGATAGTTCCCTGGTTACCAACTTGGCCCATTATTACATTAGACCATTCTCTCTTCCTACAGAAGAAGACAGTTTGCAAAGAAAAAGTGCTATGTGAATAAAGCCCACATGAAAATCCAGAGTTGCAGAAGAAAGTAGGAAAAGACAGGAACTGGAACAGAAGCTTTTAATGGACTGCATCCTAGAAAAGAAATGCCAGAATGGTAGAGAAACAGAATAGTAGTATAGTAATTGTGCTAAATTAAGTTTTGGGAAATCACACAGGAAATGAAATATGAAGAGATGGTATGAAAAAAGAAAAACAAGAGAACAAATAAGGGAAAGAACCTTAAACTCCTAAGAAATTAAATAAATCTAATAAACTAATTATAATGGAGATTCCATTATCAGCAGCAAAGAGAAAAAACTTCAGAAAACATGAAAATGGAATGAAAAAAGTCTTACTCTTTAACATCTTTAAGTTGTTCAATATCCTGTACTTTGACATAATCTGGGTCATGTGCCAAAAGGTGAATTGTATATGGAACAACATATTCTGGTAGAAGAGACAATAATTTTTCTGAAAAAGAAAGAAACAAGACAAAACAAAAATATCCAGGTTGTTAGAAAACCAAATCTTACTCTTTCTGTCTGACTCTGATACCCTATTTCCTGCATTCCAATAGTTTACCCACATGGCTAGAAGAAAAATATACTGAAATGTCTAGTGTTGAGGAACATCAAAAACAAGTTTATTTACTCATCCACCACGTCCAATATTGAAATGCCTACTAAATGCACCATTTGTTGAGGCTATAAAGACACATATTTTCATTTTCAAATGCACATGGTAAAAAGTGACCAGAACAAACTATCCAAGACTAAGAAATTAAGAAACATAAGATCCATTTTTCTTATTATGAGCAACTGTATGTTTAAGACTCCCTTAAGCCGCTAAGCAAAAATATGATACATCTTTCAATGTTAATACTGCACAAATACAGGATGATTGATACTATTTGATAATAACATAGATGGGATAAAGTGAGCAGATTAAAGACAGGCACACAAGCACCTGATACTAACATCAGCTCCAGGTGAGAATGATGAAAAATGGAAGACCTGTACTTTTTTAATCTAAAAGATAGTACTTAAGACAATCTTTATACATATTATCTGTATTTTACTGTTTTATTTAAAGTATCTCCAGTGTCAGTGCTTATTTTCCTTAGCCATTTAGTCAGTTATATAAAGAGATATGGGTTGCTATTTAAATACCTATGCATTTATATTTTTAAAATGACCTTTTTTAAAGGAAAGCAGTTACTGAAAAATAGTAGCAACCTTATATTTAACGACTGCCGATTAGACAATAAACAAGAGTAACATCATTTTGTGTTCTATAAAACTGAAACTGGATAGAAAAGTATACTTTTCATTTTCATATATGCTTACCACTAACAGCTGCATGCTGCTTCAGATACTCGCGTCTCACATTTATATTTTTTACCAGACACTGCCTAGCATGAGCTCTTCTCTCTTTTACAGGATCTTTTGCACAAAGTGCACAGATTGCCATATACTCAAGTGGAAGTCGTAATCGGGAAAGGCCTTTGTGAAGTTTCTGAGCAAACACTTGTCTTACTTGATAGCATTCATCCTGTAAAGACATAAAATTATTCCACAGATTACTCATATGGCAGCAAAAGTAAGTAAAACCCCAAATACAAAATTTGAAGGGTAAAGGAGAGTTAAGTGTATTCACAGCCATTGCTTCTGCTCATAAGACTGAGATGTTGTGATATGTTAATTTCAAGGCTGGAGTGTTCACCTGGACCCTAATTAATAACTACCAGTTACATGTGTTAGAAAATAATGAATGCTGGGTATTTACCACAAAGATACAAATGTAGGGATCCGAAGGGGTATGTGCACCCCAATGTTTATAGCAGCAATGTCCACAATAGCCAAACTGTGGAAAGAGCCAAGATGTCCATCGACAGATGAATGGATAAAGAAGATGTGGTATATATACATGATGGAATATTATGCAGCCATCAAAAGGAATGAGATCTTGCCATTTGCAACGACGTGGATGGAACTGGAGGGTGTTATGCTGAGTGAAATAAGTCAATCAGAGAAAGACATGTATCATATGACCTCACTGATATGAGGAATTCTTAATCTCAGGAAACAAACTGAGGGTTGCTGGAGTGGTGGGGGGTGGGAGGGATTGGGTGGCTGGGTGATAGACATTGGGGAGGGTATGTGCTATGGTGAGCACTGTGAATTGTACAAGACTGATGAATCAGGGATCTGTACTTCTGAAACAAATAATGCAATATATGTTAAGAAAAAAAAAACAGAAGACGAAGAAGATAGCAGGAGGGGAAGAATGAAGGGGAGTAAGTTGGAGGGGGAGACGAACCATTAGAGATGATGGACTCTGAAAAACAAACTGAGGGTTCTAGAGGGGAGGGGTTAGCCTGGTGATGGGTATTAAAGAGGGCACATTCTGCGTGGAGCACTGGGTGTTATGCACAAACAATGAATCATGGAACACTACAACAAAAACTAATGATGTAATGTATGGTGATTAACATAACAATAAAGAAATTATTTTAAAAAAAAGAAAATAATGAATGTATTTTTTTTTTTTAGGTTTTATTCATTTGAGACACAGAGATACAGAGAGAGAGAGAGAGAGAGCATGAACAGGGGGAGAGGCAGAGGGAGAGGAAGAAGCAGGCTCCCTACTAAGCCAGGAGCCTGATGTGGGGCTTGATGCCAGGACCCCGGGGTCATGACCTGAGCCGAAGGCAGACACTTAACCATCTGAGCCACCCAGGCACCCCAATGAATGTACTTTTTAAAAAAAAATTTTATTTACTTATTTGAGAGAAAAAGAAAGAGATGGAGAGCCCAAGCATGAGCAGGGGGAGGGGCAGAGGGAGAGGGAGAAGCAGATGCCCCATGAGCAGGGAGCCCCATGTAGGGCTGGATCCCAGAACCCTGGGATCATGACCTGAGCCAAAGGCAGATGCTTAACTGACTGAGCCACCCAGGTGCCCTGAATGTACTTTTAAAACATAAAACTAGTACATATAAATCCATCCTAAGTTAAGGTATTAAAAATAGTTTAAATGGTATCTCATATTAGGCTACTTCAGTTACTGAGCAAGATAAAACTCTGCCCAATTTATATATCTTAGATTTTCATATATTTTGCATTTTCAGATTAAAATGCACAACTCTAATCAATTTCAGAAACACCAAATTACTTTCAGTTCTATAAATGAACCAACTGTTCATTACCACTGTGCCTGCTTCCCTATTACTCCCTCTCCTAAACCACCCACCTCCATTCTCCTAACCAACTCCTCCTCATCTCTAACAATGGCTCCTCTAGCTTCAGAAATCATTGTGGAGTCTTTACCAGGCAACCAGCTCTGTGCCCTCTTAGCATTCTATGTATATTTCCAGCATAGCATTTACTATACAGTATTAAAATATTGGTTTATAGGTCTTACCTATCACCGCTCATTCCTTAAAGACAAGAACTATATCTTTATTTACCTTTGTGCCTCTAAACTTAGCACAATATCTGATATACAGATTATCTGTGGAAAAAACTACAGGACAAAGTTCGATATTTAAGTCATATATGAGACATACAAAGATCTTCTATAGACAAAGACCTTCATAATTACACCTTACCCTCCACCAATTAACAAAGTGTGGTATGTTTCATATTATTGCAATGTGATGTATACTATTTCTACTATCTATAATGTTCATTTTGTTTTTCTTCAAAACCTAGGTCATAACATCTTGCACTTATTTTTAAATCCTTATTTTGTATATCTTCTTTCATTTAATTTAAACTTCAGTTTATTCTCTCCCAAATAAAATTTTTTAAAAATTTATATATATATTTATGTATAAGAATTTATATGTAAATTTATATTTATATATAAATATCTATACATAAAATTATATTTATATATAACATATATAAATATACATATATATATATATATTTATATATATATAAAGAAAATAATGGGCACCTGGATGGTTCAGTCAGTTAAGCATCTGCCTTTAGTTCAGGTCATGATCTTGGGGTCCTGGGATCAAGCCCCTTGTCTGTCAGACTTTCTGCTCAGCAGGGAGTCTGCTTCTACCCTCTCCTTCTCCCCTATGCTGGTGCTCTCTCTCTCTTCTCAAATAAAATCTTTTTTAAAAATTATATAAAAAATATAAATTTCAGTTTATTATACCAAATACCTTTTAGAAAAGCGTTCTAGCTTTCATAGAAATATTATCTATTATCTACCCTCACACTCAACAAAATAAAGTTAATGTTAACTCATCCCTTCCTCAGTATTAAAATTCCCATGCGGGAAAGGAATCTTCATTATCTGATTATTTACCATGAAAATGCCCAATTACAAACTGTATAAGTGAACATATCACAAATATATTCACAAATGAGCATACCATCCATTAAAAAATTAATCTCCCCAACACATCCCTCCCCCGCATTCAGATACATTCCCAACCAAGGCCATGTTTGTCACTTTCTCACAAATCATTCAGGATCGGGCGCCTGGGTGGCTCAGTTGGTTAAGTAACTGCCTTCAGCTCAGGTCATGATCCTGGAGTCTCGGGATCGAGTCCCACATCGGGCTCCCTGCTCAGCAGGGAGTCTGCTTCTCCCTCTGATCCTCTTCCCTCTCGTGTTCTCTATCTCTCATTCTCTCTCTCTCTCAAATAAATAAATAAAATCTTTAAAAAAAAAAAAACAAATCATTCAGGATCTAACAATGCAAATTAATATGGCAAAGGTAGTAAGATTCCAAAAAGTCATTAAAGTGAAGTTAGAGAAGAACTGTTAAATCATTTGCAAGCAACCGACACAGTAATAAAAGATGAGAAAATTGACAAGAATGATGACAAACAGATACATCAGATAGAATCATCTGAATAAAGATTTAAAAGATGAGTTCCTAGGAACTGAGGAAGTCTTCAAATGTTTATTTTGCTTTTTGCAAAGATGATTACCCTTTTCACTATGTTATAAAAGTTAAATGTGAAGTACAGAATAGAGTAATACAATTTTTATCAGAAAAAATATACTCTCAGAAAAGTAAACACTTCATACTTTCATGGTTATGGTTATAACCAATATTTGGTTCAATATAAGGAAAAAAGAAGATAGTGTCTAATACTACAAAACATTTTCCTCCAAGATAAAGTTCCAATTAAAAGCTTTTATTCACTACTGTGAAATTAATTTTAGTCTGCATCTTACGTAAACTCACTTTTAGTGGCCTTTTCTAATACAAATTATCCACAAAACTACTGATAGTATCTTGCAAATAATTCAATTATTTTGTGTATCACATTGTATTATCAATAGTTATTTATATTTTCTGTTCTCCTAAGAAGTTATGTTCTTGAGGGCAGTAGCCATGACTCACTCATCTCTGTATTTACAGAACCTAGAACAACGTACAGCACATAGTTCATGAATTGCATTCAAATTCTCAAATACTCAGCTAATTATTAAATAATAGCAAGATTCGTATTATTGAATTTCTATTTCTCCAGGTTTACTTTCTATTCAGATATATAACAAAGGCCTCTGAGATACAATACTCCTCTAAAGAGCTCAACTCAAGTAAGAGAAATAAACCACAGGTACATAAGGAAAGAAAGCACAAGGCATGTATGTATCAGAGGACTGTAGATAAAATCTGTGGGGAATAAAAACGAGACCAGCTGTAAGAATTTGAGCAAGTTTTGCGGAGAAGTTTGTGTTTAAGCCTTGATTTGCAAAAAGGGTCGCATTTGGATGTGTAGAAATGGGAAGGCGAGAAGAAAGTCAGGGGCAGCAAACTACAGGCACATAAAAGAAAAGAAATATTCAGCTTCACTGACATGAGGCTAGATAAGGGTAGTGGGTTAAAAATGTATATTGGGGTCGACAAATTAGAAGGGCTCAAATGGCCAAGCTGTAAAATATATGCAATTTTTTCTTTTTTACAAGTATAAGGTCCTAAGTATTTTAAGATTTTATTTATTTGACAGAAAGAAAGAGACAGCAAGAGAGGGAACACAAGGAAGGGGAGTGTGAGAGGGAAAAGCAGGCTTTCCACTGAGCAGGGTCCCTAGGACCCTGGAATCATGACCTGAGCCAAAGGCAGACGCTTAACGGCTGAGTCACCCAGGTGCCCCAAGGTCCTAAATATTTTTGACTGGGGGAATAATATGATTGGAACTGTGATTTAGCTCACAGTGGAGAAGAAAAGTCTCACAATAGTCTAGGTCAGAGCTAATGATGATTATGGTGGTAAAGAATAGTTAAGAAGATACGAATGAAAAGATATAATAAGTATAAGACAGATTATCTGCACTTTTGCAACAAGGTGCAAGGACAACCAAATAGTCAAAAATAAATCATGCTTTTCAATCTAAGAATACCATTTGGATTTATTTAACACTTACTGAGGCTCTACATCTCAATAAAGAATAGATTTGGGAAAGATTATGAATTTAGTCTTCCTATTCAGAGAACACAAAAGTTTGAAATTTCTGTTTAACCTTAGAAGTGGGACCAGACTCTGACTTGAAAAAAGCTAATGTTGCTAGTACGGG